TTTTGAGGTCCCTTCCAATCCCTAACTTTCTCTGATTCTGTGATTCTGTGATATTTTCTCATGATTTCCTGGTTCTGAAGTCACATGTACTTTTTTCATATTGTTCATTTTTGAGGCAGCATGTAGTGTGATGGAACCCTGCTGGAGGTGGAACCTGAAGAACTGATAAAAACTAAAAATACATATAAGCCAGTTCTTGAGGCATAGAGAAAACTGACTGTATTGGTACTAGGACTTCATTTTATACTTCCTGAGTTTTGTCCTTCAACAATCCTAACCATGACAATTGCCAAACAGGATTCTGAAACCATAACCTCTTAAAGTACTGCTCTGCTGATCTAATGCCAACAATTATTTTACCTTCACATAACTGCTCTGGCAGCTTCCATTGCTATCTGGAATCTGGAAGTTACTGTGGAAGTTCATCTCCAAGTGTTTGCTTTCATGTGTAATGATGGTCCAGGTGCACCTGGTGTTCATGGGAAAGTTTTGAGGCCAATGAGGAGACTTGATTGTACCGTTATCTGAATGAATGATTCCACCACATCCTGGAAAAAATAGCAACAAGTGGGAGAAATCTTCAAATATTTCCTGTTAGTGTCGGTTTTGAATGGCTGCTTGCTTCTGTGGCTGCAAGAGTGAGAGAGGAAAACCCGGACACCCATTCAAACTTCATTTACCCCTCTTTTAATTAATTTCCCTTCTTCCACCCCTGCAGCAGGGAGGCAGTTACACTCTAGAGAAGGTCTCTGTTTATACTTCACTTCCTTTTCTTCACAAGCTCCTTCTCCGTGCCAGTTCATCCCTTTTTGCTCTGTTCCATCTATATAATCCTGACAATTAGAAGTGAGTATTGCTCAGAGAGAAAGGGTCAGAAACACATGAATGAGAAGCTTCTCACAAGACTGTGCAGGTTCCTCCCTGCACCCCACAGCTTGCACATCATGTCTGACAGCTATTTAGAAAAGCTACATAGGCATGATGCACTGCTATGTTAGACCTGACAAAATCAGTATTATTTTCTCTTACCTAGAGATTCTGCTGTCCATGTTGCATAAAAGCCGCCTCCTTGAATTGAGTGATCGGAGTTAAAGATGATGACTAGCTTGTTGGAACCAGACCGAATAGTCCCAGGGGATGTGTTTCCACAATACTTCCCTATGACAGGAGATCCAGGAGAGCCGCCGTTCAGGATAGTAACAGAGTCCCACTTACAAAGTGAATGATTTTCAACATGAAAGGCTGTAAAAGTAAGCTGCAACACACAAAAGTGACATTCAGGAGCTAACACCAGCCACACCAGTGCAGGAGTTAGAGCAATTCCAACCAGATCCCATAGCCATCTTAGCACAGTGATTGCTGGGCATGCTTAGTAATCCAACCCTCACTTCACCTTGATGCTTTCCTGCAAGTACTGCTTGGAGTCTTGCCACTATAAGTAGCAACAGGTACTTAGCATGAAGACAAAAATAAAAGAGGAACACACAGGTTCAAAACTGGCATTATTGGGACTGAACCGTATGTTTGAACCTAAGTATGTGTTTTAAAGCAGTCTTGAATATGTGCAAGTGTTGAGCCCCTTTCCTGCTCTCAAGGCTTCTGGTCATGAAATCTGAAGTTGCACATTCAAATATAAGTAGCTATGTAAACAGAAAGCTGTGAATTTTTTTCTTCCTATTATTTTTTATGACTATATTTAGCAGCTGCTAAAAATAATGCTAGTTTCCATTAATCTGAGACAAACAGTTGCATGGTTGGTTCCTGTGGGCCTGGTTGCACCAGATAAACTGGGTTGGGCAGGCAGCTTCTGACTCTGTCTCCCTCTCACACTGATGCTGTTTGTCCTTGGAGTGATACGCACACGGGTGGGATTTCCAAAGATTTTAGATTGCTGATCCAGTAGACTCCTGAATTGGTTGATGTTGAAATACCGAAGTACTCTAATGACTGGCTGGTCCTCTTCCAAGAAGTTTTTTTTTATTAGTTTCAGGATTGGGATCTTTGTGGAAAAGTTTAGCAAATACATAGGACTTCTTCCTGTAACTTTTGTGTGTATTCATTTCCAAAAGAACTCAGCCAGAGGCAAAGGCCAAATAGTTAGCTCAAATGGTTTAAGTTTGGAACTTTACCAGCAACTGAAACTGGCAGCTTATACTAGAAAAGGTTAGTCTGCCTTCACTGAGGGGGCTGCTACTCAGTCCTATTAAAACAGAAATCTACTTCCATCTGATTAAGATTAGTTCTGCTTTAAACAAATGTGTAGATTAAATAGAAATTTTGTGTTCTACTAAAATAATCCTGTATTCCCTGACGTAAGTACCTAGGCAGTGGCCAGAAAATCATGCAGCAGAATAATTAGGACTATGGGTTTGCATTTCTAAGAAATACCTTTGTAGTTGTAAATAAGGAAAACACGATAGGGAAATTGGTGAAAGATATTGCATATGAAGATCTGCAGTGTATTTTTTACAAATGTTACAGACTGGATCTGTTCTCTACAGGATCAGTAAAATAATTCAGTGAGTGAAGTTTAGCACTCACTGCTTAAATTGGTCTCTCAGCAGTTTGGTTCAAGAAACTAACACCTCAGGCAGCCTGTTAATAGTTACTGGGAACTAAGAGTCGTATTTCACTGATGTAATTTGTACTAGCAATCAAATTACCTTCCAGACTGTCCTGGTTTGAGCTAAATAGAACTAATTTTCTATTTAATGATTTTACTTTTCAGCTCAGTCTCTTTTAAATGACTGAACTTGCTGAAAACTGGCAGCATGTTTTTCCCAAACAGTGCTGCTAGAAGATATGCTCAACGTCAGTTGTCTCATCATGGGTGCTGTGTCTGCGCCTACGGGGGGAGAAGCAGACCCAAAACTGACCAACAAGGTATTCCATCCCACATACGTCATACTCGGTATAAAACCGAGAGATCATGAGGATCTTGTCCCTTTTTTTGTCCCTTTTTTGTGCTTTTGCGCTTTCTATCGTTCCTTCCACCTCGACCCTTCCGTCTGTCTCGATCCTGCAGAGGCCGAGGCCTGAGCAGAATCCTGCTCGTTCGTCTGCCGCTGATCCTGATTTGTGTGTTCTGCATCCCGTTCCCACCTGCTGCTGAGTTTGGTCTGGGACTTTTCCAGTGCCCAGCTCTGCAGAGCCTCTGGTGACGTATTCGTCATTGGGGTGGAAGGGTGGGGGGAGGATTTTATATTGGTTTTGTATATATTTGTACATATTTGTATATATTTCATTATTTTCCTATTTACAATATTATTCTGTAGTATTAGTATTATTGTTTTATTAAATCTGTTAGTTTTATTAATTGTTTTATTAAATCTGTTCCAACCCGTAAAGTCTCTCTCCCTTATTCTCTTTTCCCTTCTGGGGAGGGGAGAGGGGTTAATAGAGAGCGTCTGTCCAGGATTTAGTGGCTGGCCCAGCCCTAAACCACGACACAGACTAACCATTAAGACCCAAAAGTAACTTTCTAGTGGCTTGTAACTTTTCTGCAGAAGGAAAATCTTCAGCCTCAAGTTTATTCTCATGATAGTGAGAATAACCATGCACATCCAGTAACTTGAGTTATTTTAGTTTCTAAAGCATAGAAAGTAATTTTTTTTAAAGTAGAAGCCAGTGCTATGTTTTGAGGTCATGTTAGACTTGTATCCTTCTGCTTTTCAAAAAGCACAATCTAGTTTGATTGTGTTATCTTCATTTCCCTGTCTTTCTTAGGTAAGGTCAACAGGGAGATATTTAATTCCTCCACATATCTGATTTCCCAAGTTGTCTCAAACATGTTCCTCGAGACTCAGATGGTTCTTCTCACACTGCCAGCTGTGCACACAATCATGACTTTGTATTACTCACAGTGATGGTTTCACCTTCAGGGGCTTCCAACAACCAGGAGCAGTGATTCAGGTTGCTGTAAGGCGCTGGGTAGTTAGGACTTGAGAGAACTCCACTTTCACCTGACTGTATACCACCACAGGCTGAAGAGAAAAAGTAGTATTTCAATACATTTTAGGAACTGAGCACTATAATCAAATGAGTGGAAGATTATTCAGTTTGTAATAGTACTAAAATATATTTAAGTTGGACTGACATAGGTAAGGATGAACAATTTATCTGGGAAAATCTAAGTTTTAAAATTTCTGTCATTGAATAGTAAGTAAACAGAAGCAATGACCTTGAAACTTTGCATTTATTCTGATAATTAATATAGCTCTGCAAAACCTTTGCCAGCTGACACAGCTGCCTCTTCCACCTTATCTTCCTTTTATTTATCTCAGACTCCTAAGCAAACCAGTGTCATTCTTGGACCCACACAATCAAGTAAAAAAAACCTGTTGATGTTTCTAGATAAGCACCAAGGCTAAATTCAGCTGTGAGAGGAAAAATAGTTGTGCTGGCATGTAAATGGCAAAGCTGCTATTTCAGTTGTGCTAACACTCTGGAGGCCTATTTGAAGTCAGTCAAACTTGGCTGATGTTACCTGTCCTCCCATCCCTACTCCCAAGAACAAACAGCTGCTCTGAGTGTTGCATTGCATTGCAAAAACTCAAATGTGGTTTCAGGAATGGGAACAGTGAGGCAGAAAATAAATCTGGAAGTTCAATTGCTAGCATATGTTTGCTTTAGATGGATATAAGTAGTGGCAGGCACTGTGTAACTTTTGAGGACCTTTTGGAGAGCTGATTCTACGGTGTGTATTCTCAGTATCACCAAATGAACAGCAACATTCCCCAGAAGTGCTGCAGTCAGCAAGGGCAACAGTCTATCAAGCCATTTACCTTCAAAAGTGTAATGGGCCAAGAATCCTTTATCTTCTGTGTTTTCATCACTTACAAAATGTACCCAGATCTGGGGAGCAGCTATAACCAGTGGCACAGATGGTGCAGCCTGACCACAAAGTCTGGCTATTAGCTCTCCATCAGCATCCCCTGAGTGAAGAAAGAAAGAAATACACTTTTTGAATCCTAAAAGAGCTACAGCAATGTAAAGGAATACATAGGGCAAACATGCATTTCATTTTGTTTTGACTAGAAAACAGAGAAAAGTACATATAACACTTAATAACTGATTATTTGTTATGGGTATGAGTGCTGCAGTTCACTGCTGGGATCTAAATCTCAACAACAAGGAAGTTATCTCTAAAGCTGTATTAATGATCCTTTTTTAATATCTTAGGCTCCTTCTCTCCCCTCTCTGCCAGCCCACACACTATCGTTTTGTATCACCCATCAGACCCAAAAATACAGAACATGCCCCAAAACTGCAGACGCTTTGGGGCAGAACAGTGGGAAGAGATGGCTCAAGGACCTGATTGCATGGAAGCCTACTGAGCCTATGTATTTGTGACACTTTCACTAAAATCAACAGGGATTTTGAGTTTTCTAACGTATAGAGATGTGTTTCATCCATGAATAAACTGTCACTACTTTATTAATACTGGGCATCTCTTTCCTAGGCAGCTCAACACACTGTTCTCTGTATGGCAAAAAAAATGCCAGCATTTGCTCAAAACATTGAAACCTAAAAGGAAAGCACAACACAAGCCATTGCACTCCTGTGATGCTGAATGTTTGCTCATGTTAGTGTAAGCTCTTATCCATCACTTTGGTATTAGTTCTGTTTATTACTGATATATTCTCAGGAGAAGGAAAATAAGCATAATAGTGTTCCTCACAACATCCAGGCAATGCCATTCCTAAGTTTGCTCCTCCAATATTAACAGCAGGCTGCTGGCTTAAAATTCTCAATTCAAAAGCAACCCCTAGATCCATGCAGAGTGGCAGTCTATTCTTGTGAAGAAGGCAGTAGAGCAAAAGGGAGAAAATCTGGGTGCTCTTCAAAGCCCTATCACAGTTATTCCAAGTAACGTGGCTGAGTAACTTCATCTTTCTGTCAGATGCAGTGATACAGCCACCATTTGAAATGCCTTGAAGCAGAGGGTGATGTATAATAAAATTCTATTAAAGTAAATTACACAGAGAAATGCTAAAACCTGTCTTGTTAACAGGCACTGAAAATGATACTGATTTATACAAGCAGAAGATGTTCATGATAAATTATGATTCAGGAAAAATAGTAGTAACTGCTTTGAGCATTAAAATATATACTAGTATAAAAGTATACCACCTCTTTTTTGCACTTCTTAGGAAGTGATTGACTATGTGACAGATGTGACCCAGGTTACTCAGTCTTTACAGTGTGAAAAGTGACACCAATCACTGCTTTCATGAATGGCTAGCTGGCCAGACAGCTAGACTGTTGAGAAAGAGAAAATGTAAACAGAAAGAGTAAACAGAAAGATTGTGCAGCAAGATACGGTTCAAACTGAAGGGAATGGTCTGGAAGGCAAAACCAAGTCTTACACAAAAGCCAGAATTTAGGAGTATATTTCACTGTAGCTATATGCTCAGCTGTACTGCGTTGTACAGACTACATACATGTGCCTGATAATTTAATAACTTAAGGCTTTATGTAAGAAATTTGAAATATTTATTTTATCTGTATATTCACTGTGAAATATTCAATCTAAAAACATAAATCCTGCTTTTCTTTTTTTCCATTCAGTACCATTGAGTATGTTGTATGGGTAACTCAAAATAGTTTTACACATCCCAGTTTCATCTGGGGTCTCTCAGGTGACTTACAGTTGAATTGGACCTTTCCCTAAAATTACATCTGCTGTACTGAAAGTCTTAAACAGCACCTGCCTGAGTTTAGTGATATCTGCACTATTTGTATCTCAGCACTCATTAAATGTTACTTGTCAGCATACACAGCTAAATCAGGGCATTCTGCCTTTGACATGACACTGATTGTGAAACTGAAGATCCATTAGTATGGCCAAAATGAGGATTACTATTTAGATGACAAAACTGTGTAGAGCAAAATCAGACAACATTTTTTCCCTCTTTCCTTTGATTGTATTGCCTGGATGCCTGAGGTTCACAATAAGGTGAGAGTAGTAGGAACTGATGAGTAACAGACCAGATATATTTTGTCATTTCTTTCTCTGAGTTCTCTTTCTATTATTTCCCAGCTCCAGCACATACGTGGAAGGAAAGTGTTAGGCTACACAGCTATGGATGCTTTGGCTCTATGCAGGACAAACTGGTGTGATACAACCAAGGGCTCTCAATCAAATGAATGCAAATAAGGATGTAACAGATTTCTGCTCTCAACCTCCCTCCCTCCCCCTCTGCCACCTTTCAGAAACAATTTCCTGGTAAATTTGAACCTACTTTCTCTGGGACTCAGATGCAGCCTCTCCATGGAGAAGACAGCTGGAGCTTTCATACTACATTTGTCATTAGCTGAGTGACTTTCATATGACATTTCCAGTTGCTTGTTCTTACGGATAGCTAAAGATGCTCAAATATGCAGAGATATTACCGCTACGTTAATCCTGTGATTGTTTTCCTTTTAAATGCTTTAGTCTGTATTTGTGATGCAGTCTCACAGGAAATATGGATTTGGATAAGAATCATCTTATAGAGTACAAAAGTGGGGTGTGAAGTGGGTATGCAGCCCAGAGGCTATGAATAATTAAAGCACGCTTTACTCCACACTCCTACTGTCCCTCGAGATATTTCAGAAGCAGGAAAAAAATGGGCTGTGGACCAAATAAGTTGTTCTGATGACTCCAACTTCTCCAGGCTGCCATCTTTCAAGGCAGATGAAGTGACATTTGTATTGTCCCTTGTAAAGAAAGAGTCAGGTGTGTATTGCAACCAACAAAACAATTTATCCCTCAAAGATACCTATCCAGTTTTCCATTTTCTCCCCTGAAAGAAAGGATGTCCAAATCCACGTATCCATTGCTTTAGCAATGAAATTCCACTCCTGTTCTAGGAGGCAGCATGGAAGGCATGCATGTCAACTTTCTCAAATAAACATCTTACAACAGTCTCTGCAAATATGTATGAAGAAGATTTGGCACAAACACAGTTGCACAACTGGAATCTTGATAGGCTTAATCCATTCTCCTGTTGAACATACAAACCTATTCTTAACTCTATGTAGTCATACTGGCAGTCCTGGTGTCGTTCCAAGTGAAAATCCTCAAAAGATATATATATGGATGAATTATAGTGGGAGGGGTTTTCCATGGTCCATTCACAGTTCAGGTTACTTGTATAATTTTTGACACCATCATAACCAGGAGAAGAGAAATTCCCATTTGCATATCCCATCAAGGTTCCACCACAAACTGCAGAAACAAAATGTAATTTTTAAAAAAACAGTAATAAGTCTTATATGAAAAGAAATCTTGCCCCTGTTTATTCTGATATGCACATATCAGCAAGCACATATACTGATTAGATGAAAACTTTTTCCAACTTCTTCCTTTTGAATAATTTACTGCTCTGTACAAAAGAATTCTTGCCTAGTGTCCTGAAACATATTGGCAAGTCTTTAAAAACACATGTGATATGTTTTTAAAAAAAGCAAATAAACAATTATTCATGGTATCAAATAAAATATTTCAGCAGTGTCATAATTATAGCAAGCATTATTTAACATTTTGATAAAATCCCACTGCAGCTCCAGTTCAGTATTGCTCAGCCCTACCCATTGCCTAATTCTAGACTCGAGACTTTTCTGGAACACACCCTCAAGAGCAGTACACTCATGTACTGCTCATGTACACAGTAGGATGTCTGGGGGGTAGTTAAAAAATTAAGTTTGAAAGACTCAAGGCTGTGGTAGTAAGGCTTTGCCAGCTGCCTCCTCTCTGGTGGCTGAGCTTGCAGAAGTAGGTTAGCTGCACTCTTTCACAGGCTACAATAAATTAATTACCCCTCTGAGTAATAAAGAACCATATGAATTATTCAAGTTGTCTATGGCACTATGCTTTTTGGATCTTTTCATGGAATAAGGCCTGTTCAGACCATCTCTTACTCAAGACTAAGTACAAAACAATAAATCAGTAGTGAGAGTAAGGACTGTGATCCATAACAGAGGATCTTCTTTTCATTTGAAGTTTGATATAACAGGCACATAAAGTCTGCAACTTGCAGCAATTCCCCATTTTTTCCCATTCTTTCAAGTAATTAAAGATATGTGATCTACTCCCCCCCAAAAAAAAAATTGTAAGAGAGAAAAAAAATGTATCAGATGTTTGTTTTTGTTTAGGACATTTTTTGACCTGAGCCAGTACTTTAAGTATGAAATGATTCATCAAAGATCAAACACTTAATTCAAATACACACACTACCTGCATCTTCACTAGATGTGTATGAGACACTGAAGCCTCTTGTTGCATGAGACGTATCTGTCACCAAAATTACTTTCATTGTGTTCCCAGAGGACTTCACCACAGTTCCTGGATTGACCTCACCACACAGCTTGGCCAGCTGAGGTGAGTTCTGTCTAAGGCCATTGTAAACCTGTTGGGTCAAAATACAGTATTTTGAGCATCTCCTGTATCATTTAACAGTGCTTCACATCTTATATAATACAAGGTTCATGGATGTCCCTCATAGCAGGTTATTTCCCAAATCTACTGAAAACCTTGGAACAAACTTCCATTGCCTTAAGCAGTGAGGCTCTAAAGTAAAGCATCAAAAATACCTTGCTTATTTTGGCAAAACACAAACATATGCCTTCTCTTTCTCTCTTTTAAAAAAAACCAACCAAAACAAACAAACAGAAATTGAATCAGTTTGACTGAGAAAAATATTGTATTTTAACTCAATATTTATATCTTCAATCACTTCATAATGTCTGCTACCAATCATTCTTTCCACTTCAGAAGATCATCTTTGTAGTCTTGCTAAAGCCAACATAAGCTTTATCAAAAATCTCAAAAATATTCAGTGCTGGTGGGTATTTTTGATAAGTTCAAACATTTCATTTTTTGAAGCTCCAGATGAATTTTGCAGTTTCTTTCATCCAGCCTTTAGCCTAGGAGTTAATTTCCTTCTTTCTACTATGTCAGCAGTGCAAGCAAGGCAGAAATGATGTTTCCCACTGAGAATTTGAATATGTTAGAGTGCTGAAGGCACAAAAGCTGGCAGTACAGATCTTCCTTTAAGAGATCATTACTTCACTAATCAATAAAAAGCCAGCTTCCCATGGTCTCTCTAAAGCATCTGTGAAGAAAAACAAGGGGAAGATCATTTACAAATCACAGGGGAAAGCTACTTCACGCCCTCACATTTATGCATGGGCTATTTTCTGATCATGCTAAAGATAACTCCTGTGTTTGCACTGCTAATCTGAACAAATGGGAAACTAAACTAGATCTTCCATTCCTGCAGTTTCATAGAGGAATCATATTTTTCAGGCATTTGTACATTTGACCAGGTCTGGTTCTGTGTGCCAGGTTTTTGTTTTTTTTTTCATTAAATAACTAAAAATCTAAAATAACCATAATAAAATAACCAAAGTCTATCTTTTTGGAGATTGGGATGATAAATAGGTAGAATTTCCTGGGATTTCCCTATCTTGCTTTCAGAATATGCAAGTCCCAACACAGTAGTAGCCACTTGTAATCTCTGCCTTTTTCTCTTTCTTTTTAACTGACAACGATAAGTGACAAAAGCAGTAATGACTTCCAGAGTCAAGACACCTGGACTTGGTATCCACAGAGAAGGGATATTCAAAGCTTTCAAAAACCACAGAGCTTTTTTCCTTAATCGATGAAGAGACAATTCCAATTATTTCTTCAAGACTTGCCCTCTGCCTGGACCACAATTCCAAAATTTCCATACTCTGAGCAGATGAGTTTAGACACTCTACAGAGCTAACTTATCTTACTTATCTGTTTTCCCCAGATTAAATTATGATTTGTCTTGAAACCAGATGCAGGCCTATAAATGACATTTCAGCTCTATTATGTCCATTAACGCTCCATAAAAGGATTAGAAAGAGCATTTTCTGCCTTCACGCCCAATACTCACAGCCACGTAATCCAATGAGCACCTCCAGTGTTCTTCAGTTTTCATATCATTAAAGGTTAGAGTCACACGTCGACCTTCTTCCACAGTGATCCTCCATTCACACACTCGATTATGTGGGTATAAGTTGGGATAGTTGGGTGAAGTAAATGTTCCAACAGGGGCAGTAAAATCCCCACCACATTCTGAAATACCCAAATATCAGGACACTTATTAAAGCGTTCTTTATAGAGTTAAGGCAAAAAAACATGAATAATTCAAGAAAAGAGATCCTGAGAGCTTGATGTGCGATACCTATCCTGTCCATATGTTTGTCTAAACAGATATGTTCATGCCAGTCTCGATCATTCAGCCATAACCGTAGTTGAATATTAATTGACCATAGCAGCTCCTTTTAGTCTAATTATTAATATTCCCTTCTCTGAAGGGTTCACACAAGGCTTCAGAAGCCTGGGTGACCCACAGGCTTTGATGTCAGTTTGGCTAAGTAGTGATCAGAGAGCTCTATTCATACTCCTCCAGAGTTTAAATTTAAGAACAAATACACACCACTGCAAGAAATTAATCCACAGTATATGCTGTGCTAGTGCAGTTATGGTCTGCGGTATATGTTTCTTCCCTGAAAGTAACTTGCAACCTTACATATCCAACCTTCAGTACTGGAATCAAAGCGCAGTCTGAATCCTCGGGCATTGACTGATCCATCAGTGACAAACTTGACATAAGCAAAACCGTCAGAGGTGTCCACAGCCTCAGGGAGAGTATTACCACAGTACCTGCCCAACAAATTTCCTGAAAAAATCAAATACAGAAAGACAATTTGAAATCAATATATTTTTATATTTATATTGAAGGATCACATTCCAATTTAACTGGACAGGAGTAAATTGGTAAAATCAAGTTATTTCTGTCTGCCTTTGGTTCAGCAAGCAAGGCAGACAGAAACAAATACTGTACATTGAAAAGGCTTGCTTTGTACCCAAAGGTAAATGTTTTTGGGAACCTCTGGTGAGGTTTTGTAGTAGTACTAGGAAGGGAAGACAAACACTGAAATAATTCTCAGACCAGAAGCGTTGTATTCTCGGATCTCCACAAAGTCATTTGTGCACTCGGAAGAGTTTTGAATATCTAGGCCTTCCAGTGTGATGGTAAGATAGTGGCCCCTGGGACCCTGCAGAAACCATTCACACAGCAGGTTGTCTTGATAATGAAGCTCAGGATACCCCACGCTTTCAATGATGCCAGTTTGTCCTATCACTGTTCCGCCACAGGGAGCTGCCAAAGGAAGAACATTGCTTAGTTGACTGGAGGACCTCAGAGAGAGATGACCTTTCTCCTAAACAAGACTTAAAGCTAAGGCACAACTGACTTGCTCTCTAACTGTGGCAATAAAACAGGAATAGCTTTGCAGTTGAAAATCTTCCACATTCTCCTTCTAATTCAACTAGTCCTAGTTTGGTTTTGTGGGACTTTTTTCCCACATACTCCCTTCCATTGCAAGCATCCCTTTCTCTCTGTCACAGAGTTCAAGGTCTCTATCTAGTCTCTACCCATGTCCATATTTACCAGGAAATCTTGGAAAGCTTTACTAGATAATTATAAAGAAATTTAGTCTGCTAAATGTGGATCTAAATTTTTTATGGCTGATCAAAGTTGACTGCTGCAGCCCCCTGCCTGTTCACATTCCATTCTTTGTGATGCCTTGGCAAGGGTTCACTGCAACAGTTCGGGAAACAGCTATTTATTTTTAATTCTCTCTCTCTCTGAAAACTCATTTCTCCATGGTACTTTCAAACTTAAGTTCATAATACTAAGGTTTACAGCAAATAATATTCCCAGGTGGACTTTATTGGATTTTACAGTGTATTCAGTGTGTCTGCTGGTTACAATATGTTCGTGGCAATAACAGTTCTGTTCATACTGTCTGCTTTTCTGCATGATTATTGCTTTGTTCCAGGATGACTGGCATACAGCTGAGACACTGTAAATCTGTTATGGATAAATATAAATTGTAGCTTCACATGCTAACAATGTTTTCTTGCAATTTTCTTCCGTTTTCACATTCAGAAATATAGTAGCACACTATATTGGTTTAAGTGTTTTAGATCTAAACACAATCAGCAAAATTCTGTGTAAAGCAATATAGTCCACTACTTTGCTGTGGAGAAATTAATAGTCCTAGACTTTCCTAAACTAATAGCTGCTGTTCTTTGAAGATTATTTACATTATCAAAACAAAAAAGTATCATATTTCTCTATCTGATCAAAGACTATTTTTTATTTCATTTTAAAATTTTGCTAGCACTTTCTAATCTTCCTTTTGCAGCTTGAAAGCAAATAATTTAAAATTATTTCTTTTCCCAGCTGACAAATAATGGTTCTTACTGTTTGTTCCTTTTTCAGTCCATTGTTGTGCTCCCCCTGTTTGTCTAGCAGCATTAGTATTATAGATTAAGTTACATTTACACAGAGAGGCTCCTAATTTGTTCTTCTCTGTCCAACTCTCAGCTGATCCTTGCATACCCCGTCAGGATCCTGCTTATGAAAGTGACACTAATTTTACATGCTGAAAATCAAACCACACTATATGGCTTTATCCACACTGACCTTTTTTTTCTACTGCCCCTTTGATAACTGTCTTTGACAAGACACTATCCTGTCTTAGTTTCCACTGCTGCAGATCTATGAACACTTCCCTATTTCCATAGTTTTCATGTCTTGCTGTGTGCAGAACATGCTGATCTTAATCAGTATGATGACTCTGATGCCTTAACTCATACACTAATTGAAGGAGGGACACATCTATCAGTCCATCTTGTAGGCATGATTTAAGCCCTGTTACAAAAGCTTGACACTTGAGACCAAAATCTTCTCTAAAATCAGAGAAATGGCAGGATTACCGATGGAGTATTTAGCATTGAATCCCATGTGCGTGGAACTGCTGTCAGATCTGAACCTCAGGTACATGACAGCTCCTGAAGATCTCTGTGAGCCTGGCATCAAACTTCCACACAGCTTGGCAATGATGGGGGCAGAGGAGTCAGCACCATCGCGTACCTCTAGGTAACTGGAAGTGCAGCTAGAAGAGGAGAGAATTTTCTGTTCAATGGATAGAAGTAATGGTTTGAAACCAATTCAGTATGTGCAAAAAGCCATGAAGCTATAGTGAATTCGATCAGCTTCCATGCAGTATGATCAGAAGAGAATCAACAAGTTCATAATCAGTGATAGTTACATAATATTTGAATCAAAAGAAGTGCTAGAAACATTGAGGAAGATTCATTCCAAGACCAGTCTATGATCAAACCAGATCTGACAGAGCAAGTCCTGGAGAGGAGTATGAACAGCACTGATAAAGTAGTTGTGACCACCTTTAACATATTTTTTTGGCAGCATCCAGATTCAGAGGATATTTTCTATTAAGTCTCATTGCTGACTGCTCAATTAAGGAACAGACATAAGACAGATGAGGGGAATAAAAATTCAAATCTGGGGCTTTGCTTAGGTGGGCATAGGATATCTTAACTAACAGCTTTGCCTTCAGAATGGTGCAGCATCCTGGGATGCAGTGAGAAAGGACACCTTTGGAATTCTCCACCTTGCGCCATCTTTTCTGGACATGGTCTCACAGGTGAGGCTCACCTTTGTCATATAATGGTCCAGCCCCAAAGCAATAAAGTTACTTCATCTGGAAACTAGGCCTTCCTTTATCCTTCAGACAGGGGGTGAAAAATATGTAGACCTGTTGCAAATCCACAGACAGGCATTGGAGGAGGGAGACAAATTGTGGTAGTAATTCATTGGATTTAAATGCACCTGTGAGTCAAAATGACTGAAAATCTAAATATGAAAAAATAGAGGGCACAGATTTTACAGAAAGCACCTTTCTACCATGGATGCTTCCTCTCTGTCTCTTATATTCATTTCTGTCATGCACTGCAACGTCCTAGAAATGTGTACCAGTGGTCTGATAGCTTCAGTGATCAGCTTCAGTCTCCCACGGCATCCTCACGGCTAAAC